CGAAACGGTATGTGGACACGGCTTAGTCCACATAACGTCAACACAACCTGCATTATGTGGACATCTTTTGTTCACATGTCCACATAGTGACTGTAAGACAAACTCACAAAAACAGCAAATGTCTGGCAACGCTGCCGTATATTACATTTATTTTTAGTATAGACATTGCAGTTTACTGAAAACGGTGGGAAAATAAGAAGACAGATGAGAGGATTTCAATTTTTGTGGAGGCCAGCCTGGAAATTACGACATCGGATACGACGTGGTCATTGAGGCTTGATTGGTGAAACTATCAGAGAACTGACATTAAAACACCCCGAGCAATTCGCTCGTACGAGCGAACCCGAGCAATGCCATACACAAAACTTCTACAAAGGGCTAATTATTTCCCGTACCAAGTTTCGTAATTTGACCAGCTACCTTGTGTCGAGCCGGGGGAAAATGAAAAACCCCACCTACCTTGTGTCGTGCCAGGGGGGAAATGAAAAACATATCTCCACGGGCGTTATTACTTCTTTGAAACAGACAAAAATGGCGAGTCTGTTATATGATTAGCAAACTGTTGTTCACTGTATAGCTTTTGTACTTTTTAGCCGCGCGTGGTGTGTGTGCGCGCGCAAAGATAACGGACGGGGGTTGACCCGACCCCACCGGCCCATCCCCAAAATGCTTATTTCAGTTGGCATTCAGAACCTCAATCGGCAAACGAACTGTCAATGTTAATCTAGTCAAGTCTTTGGGTTTATCCTATTTTAATTCTATTCCCGCCTGTATCCCACCTCTCATTTACCTCTAAATTCCCGGTATTTCAAGATACAGCCACGATACGAAGAGGCAATTTTCACGAAACGGAGAAATCTGGGAGTTGCAATTTTTTTGAAATCTAACTGTTTGCTTGGATCAGGCCGCATAAATGTCGGGGGGAAAAAGTGTTTTTAGTAACTCAGTTTTTCTTTGGAAATTTTCACGAAAATCACAGCACACCAGGTGTCATGATTTCACAGGATGCTTGAGACTATTATTCATTTACAGTCAAGTAATGAACCGGTACAGTATTTTGTTTTTCAATGTTTGCGAATGTATATTTGTCTGTACATTTCTTAGATTAAAAAAAAATCCAGTCAAATGACAAACGTTTTAAATGTATGAATACTAATTTGAGAAAAAAAGTTCTGGTGGCTGGCTCCATTTTGGCTTACAATGGTCAACCTATGAGTGTCTTGGACAATGCTGAAAGCAAAAATAAAAGGCGTAAAATAAGGCTATTTAGCAGTGTTGTAGTCGAGTACCTTTTTCCGAGTATCAAGTACTGCCGAGTACTTAGGTTGCCGAGTACGAGTACGAGTACTTGTACCTCTGAGTACAAGAACAGGTCTCCGAGTACGAGTACTAATACTTACGAGTACGAGTACTGTACTTCCGAGTACGAGTACAAGTACTTGTATTTCCAAATGCGGCCATACGGCAAATGGTTCGTTGGGCGTAATTGGCCCAGGCCCAGTCAAACCTATATACAGACTCACTCACGGCTAGCTGTTAAATGTGTTTGTCCGGACGTGCACAGAGGAAAATCAGGAAACTTCGATTTCTCCACAAGGCAAGCAACCATTTCAAACTGAAAGTATCGATAAAATAAGGCCGTGGTATATAGTCAAGCTACACAATTTTTCCCCGAGCACTGCTATTCGAGTACGAGTACTTTGATGATCGAGTACAATTTCGACATGTCAAGTACGAGTACTTTGCTGCCGGAGTACGAGTACCGTCATTTCGAGTACGAGTACTTTGACATTCGAGTGCGAGTACAAGTACGAGTACTCAAAAAAAAAGTACTGGAGTAGTACTCGAGTACGAGTACCGAGTACGAGTACTACAACACTACTATCTAGAACTAGGGTAAGAGACGTACAAATTAAGAGGATAAGCCAGATTGTAGTTTACTTTGTGTCATGTGTGGGTATATGGAACACTTAAAATCAGAAATTAAGATTTGGAATAAGGGAAAACTCAATGACCAGGAAAATGTCTGCACAGTTTTTACATTATCAATTTACACTTAATATTATTATTATTACATGTACATGAATGCTCACACGAAAAAAAAATATTTAAGAAGAAATATACATTATCTTTACATACAGTAAAAACTACATATACAAACCACAAGACTTGGATATAAAAGTAATTAATTTTTACACGATACCATTTTGTAAAATTGATTTTGGGATTATCATTTAACATTTCATTACAAATTAAAATAATTAATCTGACATGATTTTTCATGTACAGAATACCACACACTTCGTGGAATTGTGATTCACATAAAATATGTTTTTCCCCCAAATGAATTACATTGAAATTCAGCAAGCACAGTTCGCAAGCCTACCATACATGGCTTGAACTGAAAGACCTACGAAAAGTATCGACCAATCCCAGCTCACTATATTATTCTGTAGGCCCCCTTCCATGGCGAATTCAGCATTGTGCTAGCTATTGTTCAGATAATCGATTGCGGGTCAGTTGTTTGGACAATAGCTAGCACAATGCTTTCGCCATTGAAGGGGGCCTCCGTGAATATACATGTACATCGACAGAGTGGCTCAGAATGGTCTTTTATTCTTCTTTCTTTGAGCTTTTTGGGAAAGGAAGGAGGAAACATGCAGTCAAATTTGGGGGAGCGGCAATTTCGAGGTGGACAGTTCGGGCCATGGCAATGGGCAACAAGTTATTTCCATATTTTCCGATATATACACTCTTGCATTGGTATCTTCCTGGTATTCACGATCGAAGAGATTACGAAAGATCTGCCAAAACCGGTTGTTGGCATAGCATCAGGAACACAACGATGTAAACATTGCCACCACTCACTACGTACTTGTGTGATGTCCGGGTATTTTTTCGTCGTTTCGTTAGAAACTTGGCAACAAAAATCTGGTGTGACTTTTATTTGTATGATAACAGTCTGCAACTAAAAGGTTGACCATCGTAAGGTAGCAATTATTCACCAATTTTACCGAACGATTTTACCTCGCCTCGGATACACGTCCAGTACCAATGGCTGGATCAGTTGCCAAGTGTGCGGCATGATCTATCATTCGGATGAATCCAGTGACCTCGCTGGCTATTACGTAGCACTTCGATTGTGAATTCAAGTAGTACACTGCATTTTTCTGGAAAGGTGTTATTCTATGGGCTCCACTCATGGGTGGAAATGAAAATAATGTTTCAGTACATGGTATGCAATAATTCTGAAATGTTTACCAATGATAATGGCACACACATAACCACCGTTGCATTAATGGTCTCCCTCCTAATTTTTTTTTCGTAACTCTCTTTCCAAGTCCAGAATATAAGGGGTACGATCAGAAACCCTTCATGCACCCATTTTAGACTGGCCTTAAAGTTAAAGTAAAGTAAAGTCTGTTACAAGCCTATGTGGCCCATCAGGCCGGCGTTTATCTCCGGTTTCAGTAGCATGAAATGACTGAGACTATATGGGATGCCAGTCCATCGCAGGTTACTCCCCAGCTAATGCCGGTACCCATTTATACTCCTGGGTGGAGAGAGGCAAGTGGGGGTGAAGTGGCTTGCCCAAGACGCAACATATGACCAGCAGCTGGATTTGAACCCCTGACCCTCTGATCAGGAGTCACGAACCCTAACCACTAGGCCACACTCCCCTTAGACAGGACTCACAGAGTCCCACCTTTGTTCCTAAGATTTGAATTAAGACTTAATTAAGTACACAAAAAGTTTGACGTCTGAACAAGTATGGAGCAACCACATGTCTGTAGTCTTTCCAAATTACTCAGGAACATCTTGATTTGAGTCGCCACTCTAGTAATGCAAAATGAATGCACAAAGTTTGCCTGTTCAATATCTTTAGGGGTTGACTTGAGTTGCTTACTGATATTTTGGTAAGCCATAATAATAATAATAACAACTGGATTTATAGGGCGCCAAATTGCCAAAGGATACAAGGTGCTTATTATTACCCTGCTCATTAGGCCAATGAAACATTCTAAATACCATCTCAGCTCCCTTGGGAGTATACAGCTCCATGCTGCCATTTTGGCACAAGGCAGCCAAAATCAATCACAATAACCATCTCTGCCCTCACAGTGACAAAGTGCCTTGCCCAAGGGCAAACACACCATAGCCACAGGCTGGACTCGAACCCACAACCTGCAGAATTACCCGCAGACCACAAATTCAATGCTCCAGACAACGAGGCCACGGCACTCCATAAATCTGGAATAGCAGTCCCAAAAAGGGGTAAATTGCCTCCAACCCTTGATGTTATATAATGCCACAGTCAGAGATACAGTCGAGTTCTCACATGTAAAGCTTGTGTAAATCACAGATCCTTCAGTCACAAGCCACGTCACAAGCTATTCACATGAACTGTAACAGAGTCATAAGTCTGTTATTGCTCATACCATATTAATTGTGACCTTACAAGTGACCGACTTGTGATAGACTTGTGATTTGACTTGTGACTCAACCTGCGATGGACGCGACTACAACTCTTGCCAACTTTAGTGCATAAATAAGGTATGAATATAATTCTTTACTTTTTTAATTATCTATATATTATAATGGTGAGGATTTTTTTTCAATACTGTTTGCACAAAATTTCTAAGGTTGAACTGGCATTGGGATAGCACACTTTCAAGAAGACCGACCAAAAATTAAAGATGTGTGTCTTGCCCATGGACACAATCACTGCGACCTCGCAGATGAGTCTACATCCTAAGTTTCAAAAAGTCAGTATGCAATTACATATTTATAGCTAATACTTCGAAGGTTTTTCACGTATTATACAGCACACTGCATCTTTCCTGATGTCCTGGGTATATATCGCTTGGAAAATATACAACTTTGAAAAAAATACCCTGAACAAAAATGTACCTTGCTTTCGTAAGTTTGAACTTGGGCGTTTTTTTCCGCGACCATGACCACAAACATGTTTTCGCTTTGGTCATTGGTTGTGCGTTTTCGCGTCTTTGGTTATGGCTGTGTGACGTCATTGTTTCGACCAAACAAGAACCGAAAGTTGGAGTTGGTTATCACAGGTTCAAAATGGCAGAAAATACTGAAACGTAAGCAGACGATAGGTTTGTCGTCCCAAAAATTAGTGAATTATGTGAAAAGAGAGGGCAGCGGTGGGGGAAACACACCAAATGTTGGCCTGTAATGTGAGTGAAAATGACGTTCGTCGTCTGCTACTTTAAATATTACTTTGCTATGCGCGTGTGTTCGGTAACCGACGGTTTCTGGTTCTGCGTTTTCGCGCGCCTATGTAAACATGTTCCTGGCTATTGTTTTTGACGTCACAAACATGTTTCTGGTCATGGTCACGAAAACACACCCCTGCTTTATTAATTTTTATATGTACAACAAATATTATTATGCATATTCAACACCATCTCAATCAGTCAGAAATCTCTAACTGTTCACTTCAATGTGCACCAAACAGTGTCGCATAAGGGCTGATGAGACATGTTCCAGAATTTCTCATATTTATATCGTACCAGTTTTTCCAATGATTGCATTATACATGTATAAATATATTAAAAGTGGAATGGTTTATTGTTTCAAAATATTGGAAACTTCAACGCAGTGTAATAAAAATGTGATCCATACTTGCTGTTGAGCTAACTTTTCAGCAAATGTACGTAATTTATTACTTAAAATAGAGTACATTTTTGTTTCAACTATGCATGAATTTCCCACGCTGTCGTCCATTTTCCCATAGAGGCATCCATTCTTCTATCGGATCTTACTATCATGTCTTGTCCTTCTCAGTGGGCCTCCCGGAAGATCTGATTCGTCAATTTGTCGCTGAGAGTTAGCCAATGCCGTGGTGCGATTGAAATCAATCATGGCGTAGGTGTCAGTCCTGCGACTGGACCCCTCGGAGTTCAAACTGGCCGGGGTCTTTGGTGGGGAGCTGGTCATGCTGGAGCTACGACTCTGACGAGTCTGGATGATGGGCGTGGTCTGAACCGCCTCCAAGCTCTCCATGTCCAGGTCGGCGTAATTCATACGTCCTTTCGGAGCCGGCTGGAGAACAACGTTGGAGTTCCCGTTGTGCGCGGCCGGTCTCATTCCGACCTCGGACAGCGCGTCCAGGTTAGCGTAGCTGTGCTCGCTCACCGGTGACCGGTTCCCCGCCACGTTGGTGTCAAAAATGAACTCCGACCCCGCACTGCCTTTGCTGGAGGATGTGCTGCAGGGGGAGCGCAAGTCGCAGCAGAAGACAAAATTGTTGTGAGGGAGTTCCCCGACGGTGTCCAAATTAGCGTAGTAGCTACTGCTGCCCGAAGTCCTGCTGCTGGGCGTGGTGAGGGAGTTCTGGGAGACCAGACTGAGGGGCGTTGTTATCGACACAGGCGAGGCCCGGTTGGTGTGACTCTCATCAGTAATCACCTCCGAGGTGGTACTCGTCAAGCTGAGGACGTTTGCATTGCCGTTCAGGTTGAGGACGCTTGTATTGCCGTTGACAATGTCTTTCACTGAGGGTGGCTTCATGTAGTGGGATTCGGGTAGGTTTGCGGCCGGCAACATGGTGAGTGGTGGAAGCCCCACCCTGTCCATGTTACCGTTGACGTCGTTCTGAACCAGCGTCACAGCGTCGGTCTCTGTGACACTGACATGTGACGAATCTTCGTCCACGTCGTGCTTGAGCCGCGCATAGTTCACGTTAGGATCTTCGTCTCCTGACGATTGTTGGACGGTCTCTTCACTCACCCGAGGTAATAAGATGGCAGTCACAGACGATGAGTCGGTCTACATGAACAAAAGGATGAATGAAAGCAGAGACAAATTAATCATTTTACACTATAATTCACATAGCTGTAGTGTACAAATGCATTTATGAATGCGTTACAGTTTTTAAAAAAATTCCTACAATTATATTTTGTGGTGAATCAAGAAATAATACATATTGGGGAGGCAATTTTATACAAGACCTTTTCCCACAAAGCCTGGACATAGTTGAACAATTTCTGCTGTTTTAGGTTTTGGCATTTGAAAATGCCAAAGGTTCCTACTCGGGTTCCTACCCATAATCAAAAGCCCAAATATGCTGAAATTTGCAGCATACCATTTCATCAAAATAGTCAGGTTCCTACCCATAATCAAAAGCCCAAAGACTCTGACCACATCTGGTAGCACATGTTAAATCTGGACTTTTCCAGTTCACTCGGCTTCGCCTCGTGAAATGGAAAAGTCCAGATTTTACATTGCGATAATATTCCTCCCATTCCAATCTGAGCTACCCAATATTTGTTTACTATCATATATATTTCGGTAAACTTGTTGGCAGTGAACAAAGTAGTCGAGTTCATCAAAACGTCCTCACAATTCTATCACAAGTCCCAAGCTATTCAAATGAACGGTGACAAATGCAGTCCTTTTGAATAGTTCATCCCCTGTTACTTGCGACTGGATTTGTGAAAGGAATTGTGATTTACTTTTAGCCGGACTTGTGATGGACTTGACCACAACACTGGAACTAATTGGCTTCTATGCCATTGTTACAAATCTAGCTAAGCTTTCAGAGAAGATGTACACATATAGTAAACTCTCGTTAACTCAAATTCGGATAACTCGAAACTCTGTTTATCTCAAAGTAATATTCCATTCCCCTCACAAGAATAGGATATTATGGACATGAATACCCCCGTAACTCAAAATGCCAACACCGGTACCTCAGTTAATCTCAAACTTTTGTTCGGCCAGTCCATGGAAAACGCTGCCAAAACATTCACAAAGTAGTGTAAAAAGATTGCAAAACTTTTTTCCTGACTCATTACTGCCCAACACACTTCGTCTTTAAACGTGGGAATGCATTGTGAACGCTCCATTGTGATCGGACTCCAGCCCGTTACTGCAACAAATCTGGCTTTGAGTAATAGCCTGATCGCTACCACTGGCCCATTGTAGCCTGCATGTCGGCAGCCCAATCACTGGCTTTGCAATGGCTGCAATGGAAACCTTTTGAGGATATGCGCGAGTTATATCATGAGCATTACTGCCGTGCGCACATCATGTTTTAATGTGGGGATGCAACGTGAACGCTGCATTGTGATCGCACTCCAGCCCGTAACCACATCAAATCCTGGCTTTCGAGTTAGCCTGATTGCTACCGCTGGCCCAATTGTAGTCTGCGTGCCGGCAGTTCAATCGCTGGCTCTTTGTGGTAGCTGCATGGGAAAGCTTTGAGGATGCACTGGAGTTACAGCCTGACCGCTCTGCTGGCCCAGTTGTCGCTGGTGCGCCCTCTACCGATTATACAGGACCGACCACATGACTGCACATTGGAAACCCCCCCCCCCCCCCAGCATGGTGTTTCGATATTGATATAGACAAACGACACAAACTGAAGATTTACTACATGTGGATGACATGAATGTAGAAAAAAGCAGGAACCTTGCTTAATCAACTCAAACTCCGGATACCTCAAATATTTTATCCATTCCCTTGAAATTTGACTTAACGAGAGATTACTGTACGAAGGTTCCTTCTACTGGTTCTCGTTTGTTTTGTCTGTTTTATTTTCATTTGATCCTTACCCCGCTCTCCTGGGGCGACTCTGGGATATCTGGGAAGGAGTTTGCATTGATGTAGTGTACCGACGTGCCGGGTGATGCTGGACTCTGCACACCAGACGAAGACGACGCGATTGACACCGTCCGGCCGGAGTAACTGGCCAGTCCATACGCGCTGCCGTTCCGTTGATCGCCGAGGCTGGACGTGTCCGTGGAGAAAGCCGAGAGGACTGGGGATGTTGGCTGGTGAGTGGGGGAAGCATCGCTGTTGGCGAGCTCAGACGAGGCCGAGTAGCTGCCCAACCGGCCGTTGCTGTTGCCACAGGCCTGGGCGTTCTCTTGGACGTTGCGGAAGAGGAACTCGGCACGCTTGCATTTGAAAGCGTAGATGCCTGTATTAATTAGGGAAACAAGTCCAGGCAAAAAATTAAAATCAATCACAAGTACAATTTGGGTGCCATAAAGAATGAGTTTCTGAGAATTCATAATTAACAGAAGTTTTTGGTTTGATTGAGGACACTGAATGGGGAAAAACAATGAACAGATGAGAAAATGCGCCAAGGACAAAGTAGGAGCTAGAAATTTTCAAAACAGTCAGTTTTAATGGATTCTTATGTCGATACCCCAATCTTACTTTATTTGCCATCTGTTAGGTTCCTGCACTCCCAATGGGAGGGAAATGCACAAAATGCCCTCCATCAAATAAATATTTACAGCTACGTGTAACTTCTCCCTGGACAAATCCAAAATACTTCCAACCTAACAAGGCATGTACAACTTTGAATCGTAGGAATTCCACAGAAAATACGATCCCATAAAACTGTAATAGACTTTAATGGACCTCAATGATTTGTTTCCATCCACTTTTTAAAAGGGGTCACAAAGATGTCAACAAAGTTTTTTTATAGGTTACTTTATGATCTCCCATCCACAGAGCAAAGTGCAGGTATCATTTATGGAGGCAATGGATCTCTCAAAGACCTGGAGGACTCCTATTTCTGAGATTAAAACCACATTTTGAACTGACAATAAATGTTTAGAGCCGTCCACCATATACTGAATATTCGAATATTCGATCATTAACCGAATATTCAAATAGCTTTTTGCCGGTTGGAATATTCAAAAACAAGAAAAACTACGCACAAACACACACGACTGTGGTGTTACTTTATCGTAAAGTTCGGTGCTTTATTGTCGGGTGCCACGTTTTTGTCGACGGCGATTCATTGTTCCCATCCTTTTAGCAGGTTAAAGCCCACGATAGTTATAAATACTTACTGCAAAACATTCCAGCGGCTCATATTGATCGCAGCACGCAAATTTGAACTCTGCGTGCAACTTTTGACCAGGGCGGTATGCAGTTGCAGCGGGCAGTTTCGAATATCTGAATATATATTCGTTCAAACACAGTTTCGAGTAACCGAGATCCGATACACCGTGCCCTCTGGAGACATGCACACAATAGGAAACAAAAGATTGTATACGTCTCCACAGAGCAATTTCTGTAGATGAATACGTCTCCACAAGATTTTCATGAAATAGATATATGGATTTTACTCAAAAACTAGGAATTTCCAAGGTGGGTTGATCGCAAATGGAAGAGTTTTAGAAAAGGAATATTAAATCCGAATTTCAGCCCAGGAAATTAATTCTGGTTAAAACAAGAGCATTTTAAAACTACACTTACTACACGAGAACAAAGAAATGTCTCCACAAGAATACAAATTTCAGTATCCGAGTACTAAATTATTTGAAAATAGACAGCCCTTCTCGTTCTTGTTGTCTTTTGTGAAACCTAACTCACCAGGCCCGGTCGCACACCGGCGTCCACTCTCAAAGGAAAAGAGTTTCTTGTCAAAGCCGTAGCGTCGTAAGCTCCTCAGCGGCCACTTGATGGGATCCTTGCCTCGCTGATGGAGGATGATGTCTGTCTTGCTGACCTCAATCACCGCCCGTTGGATTTCGGACCCTTTGTCGTCCACGTTCCGCACCTGCAGATTGACAAGACATCGTTACATTTAATTGATAAATACCTTGGAGAGTTGATAGCTTCTGATTGGTCGAGACTCACGTGGGGGTGTATTAAAGGGGTACTAGGTCTTGAAATCCCCCGAAATTTCATGTTTTGGATTGTTTACATTTACAATTTCAACATGAAAACGCCCAGTATTTAAAGGATAGTTGTGTAGATGTTTATATCCTACTTTTAAATGTTCTTTCCTATTAACATCATTTTGTTCAAAGTGCGTTTTGTAGCCTAATTGGTCTGTTCCAGGATGCCGTGTCCTTTTAAAATGTGATGTAAAGACCGGCTTCAAAAACAAGCGAATAAATGGCCCCCGAACCAGCATTGATCCAGCATCATGTAAGCCAATGATTGGCCAATATACAACAGTCCTACGGTAGCTTGTAACATTACAGCAGTACACATGCCCTCAACCACGACACGCGAGAAGACTTACGCGTGCATATATACAACACAGTTGGTATGTGCGCGGAATAAGTCTTCACATGACATGTTCATACCGAGGATGTTTACGACAAAAGTGCAGATCTGCAATTATTTTCTGTATACACGTCGCCCAAAGACATATTTACTTTTTCTAAACCAAGCATCTTTGTAATTCTGGACGCAAGGAATTTGTAAACAAAATTTCAGTTACCTCCTTTAGGCAAAAATATGAAAAATGAAAAGTGTTGTAATTTGTTTCACTATGGCAGCAGAAATTCATACCCTGGACATCAGTCGTAATGCAATGAAGACGAATACACATTGAAGAGACAGGGTAGCATACATGTATCTCAGGCATTTATAGCTAAAATATGAACCCTCAACATGAACACAAAAAGTCTGGAAATATCGCCGGGGGATGGCCGCTGTTAATGGACCTCGCCTTCGGCTCTGTCCATTAACAGTGGCCATCCCCCTGTTCTTATTCCCCTGTTCTTATTGGAAATACGGTAATTCTCGTAAGCGAAAGTAGACACAACCACATGGTGTTACCGGGGCAAACCGTAGCTATATCGATACTCCACCACGCAAAGCCTAAAATCTTATAAGTTTAAAATATATATCACATACCGATACATATATGCGATGTGATTTATAAAAGTAAATGTAGTTAAATGCAAAAATTTCTCAATTGCCAGTTTCAATATGTCTCAATTAACTCGGACACAGAAAGAACAGCAAAAAGTGCACGACACTAAGGAATGGATGAAAAGTTATTGGGAAAAGGTATTTTACTTGTAAAAGTGATGGCATTTTTAAATTAAAAATCCTACTTGTAATTCTTACCTTGAACATGTTCTGTGCCAGTTTGGCATCTTTTGGACGGATGCATGCCTGCTGGTTCCCCATGGTGATCACTCTTTACAAATGCTCAGAAAGCGCACAGAGGTAGTCTGCAAAAACAAGAAGAAAAACAATTGAAAACAACCACGAGTGATAATAACTTCAACAAGTCTGATATTTTTGGTTGTGACAATCTGCCTTAAATCACAAACATGGTAAGGCAAATTTATACCTGCGTGGCAAAATTTGTCCTGTGTACGGACCATAGTTATTGCAAAATCTAGTTGACATTTCCATGGCAACGCATGCGTATGGAAACTCAGAAGGTTTAACTAACCCTGAAAAATACAGCTATAAGCAGTCCACTTGAAAGTCAACATGACAGGGTTTTCCCAATTACTGCGACTGTCATGGAAAGATTGAAAATAATTACAAATTTTCTGTCTACAGGAAATGATACATGTACATTCACATGATTAAAAAAACTGTGGAAAATCTACAAGAACACACTGAATATCTGTACGCATGTAGGATTTGGAAAATTGCCAAAAAGATGCATGCCTAGAAACTCACGTGTCTGACGCAGGTAAAACTCAAGGCCTACAGTTCGTGCCTAACGGGGTCTACAACTGAACCTTTCAGCCAATCAATGTATTACTATTAGCACATACACACGTACTGGTAGTTCCAACATTTCACTAGCCTTGGTCAAGGCGTTCGTCAATATTCGTCCGTATGCGGTAAACGATCGGCAGCATGTCCTCACACTATGCAGTGCATTAAAAACACAGCGCGAACAGCGACCTCATGCGGCCACTATTTTATGCAAATCATTTGGACCCAGACGAACGCCTTGGTCCAATCATCCATTTGAGTTTTTGGGGTGGTGCTCATTATGCTAATAGCCTAAGCTGACCTAAAAAGTTGTTTTCTTATTGGTCGATCTTTGCATGGAAACGTGCTTGCTCTACAATTGGTCTTGTGTTTGGTCTTGTGTTTGGTCTTGTGATGGTCTTGTGATTGTCTTGTGATGATATTGTGATGGTCTTGTGATGGTCTTGTGAATGGTCTTGTGCTTGCCCTACAATAGGTCTTGTGATGGTCTTGTGATGGTCTATGGTCTCGTGAAGGTCTTGTGATGGTTTTGTGATGGTCTCGACTACATCACTGCATTTGCAATGTTCAATGGTCTGCTGATGGTTCAACAGTTTAAATGGTGCCGACTTGAGGCCAAACGAAACCATGGAGGACGGAACACTATTCACTAATCAATTACAATGTTGTTTGTCAAGGTAGTTAAAAGCGGATAAACTCTTTGGAGATGCAGTCATCTGAATGCTGAATCGGTACATTATTGCAAATTGCATGTAATCCTCTTTTGCAGGAATCCCAGTCTTCAAAAAAAGTCTTTTGAGTTTTTGAAAAGATTGCCCTTGTTTGTTTCCAAACTAGAAGGATGTGGTGGAGGACAGAATTCCTAAGAGGATTACATGTATCTCCATTGTCCATGTCTTCACAGATGGCGTGTGCACGTTGGTGGGCCCTGCATTGAACCTAGGAGAGCGTCATGCCCAAAGCTTGCAGATCAATTCAGTCCTAGCTAAGTCGCTGTTTTGTGCTGACGCTAATAAAAAGCACCAGTGTGCAAACAATCGGTCAATTTGCAACGGGAAAATTAAGTGTACAGTACTTGGACATTGTGAGCTGAGTGAGCAAAATGTACCTAAGCCCTCCACATTGGAGTGAGCATGAATTAGATTTTGTCCATTTTTTTTGTCCAGAGTTATTGCCTTTACAATGTAGGTCTTCGACCATTACAACTACATGAATGTTGGAACATGCCGACAATAGACATGTACAGCCATACATGTAGCTAGCTCTGGAAACCTGTTAACCCTAACGTACCTAAATCCATCAAAATCCACACCCCTGTTTTGGAGGATTTCAGTGGAATCAGGATACCTCCATATTGAAAAAGTTCGGGGATTTTGATGGATTCAGAACAGTGAGCCTAGTGGTACTGCAGGATTTTGATGGATTCAGGATACCTCCATATTGAGCTGTTGGGGGACTTTGATGGATTCACGATCTCAACAGATTTACTCCCGCCTAACTGGTGGATTCTGATGGACTCACTGGCAAAATTGACTGATTTGGGCGGATTCAGGATACTTTCTGGTAAAAATACCCAAGGGGGTTAGGGTTAAAAGAAACAATTAAACCTATACATGTATGTCATCCATAATCATTCACACTTTCAAAATTGTACAAAAACGTACGCTCAGTGAGAGGGGGTTAACAACCCATGTACGCTTTTCAAATTTTGTAAAAATGTTGATCAATATTGTGGGTTCAGTATTTTTTGTGATGGGCTTTCTGAAGATCTGTCATAAAAAAACCCTGATACCTCAACTTGGTAAACTCCCAACCAGCTCGCGAGTCATAGGTGCAGCCATATTTGCCATTCAGCTTCGCGCTACGTGCTGGTGACAAACATGTACACGATGCAGACTTTTTCAGCCGCCACTTTTGTAGCAATGAATTGCATGTACCGGTACACGTGCGCGTACGGCAAGCACCTCGTGTGCCTAGCCTATCTTCAAGACGGTAATATTTCCATAACTAATCCCGGCGCTATGAATGAACTGATCGTTCCAGTTGTACCGTGTTAGTGCGCCGTCCTGATGCATTGTTGTTGCCTCTCACTTGCGCCTTGAGCCAAGACTAGGCCGCAGTTCCCAGGATATCTTTGAAAATCAACATTTTTGAAAGTGCTCTTTCAGAGTTGGGGAGGGGGTCTGCCAAAAAAGTATGTTTTCAAAGCTTTTGATAAAATGTTGATAATTATGGATGACCCCTAAGTATTTCAGTAAAAAAGTGGAAAAATAAGACTTTCTCTACAATCACTCCTGGTATGGGAAAAGTATATCGAAAACAGTACAAGTGAGGTATTCTTCTTAGGAGGGAGAGGAGTTTCGTAGAAATTTAGCGTATCTCTCGGGGAAACCGTATAGTTGAAAACACCTCTAGAATTTCTCTTTTTGCATACAAGCTTTTCATTTGGCAACACCCTTGCTCCAAGTAGCGACAGAAAAACATCTTTCAAAAACAACTTTCCCATGAAAAACAGCTTTCTCCATCATGATCTCCAAGGATAGTCTAATGTATTAAGAATTCCTCTTCATGAACAAAGACTGAAAAAAAAATACTCCAGGCTTGTCATTAATCCATCCCCAACAGACAAAAGCACTTCCTCCGAGCATCGGTGCAAAATTGCCCACTTGTATTTTTTTTCCTTTTTAGAACCACCTGTGAAACTGAAAGATCTACATGTACTGTGTGCGCTTACATGTGCATTCTAGGATGCAAGAAAAAGTTACACGGTTTGCAAAACCACAACCACAAATCTACCAGACCGGAAACATTTTCAGAATGTCTAAGTCCCAATCTCATTATCCTTCATGCTATTATTGTCAAGTACCGGAATTGAAAGGTCTACGTTTTTGGAATGTCTTAAATAGCCAAATATTTCCGTCCGGTCTTGTCAGGCAAACCCTCTATTCATAACAGGAAGAATTTCAACTCTCTTGCCGCAGTCTTGAATGTTAATCTGGAATGGCTGGCTGATGATGTCATTGGTCAAATCAGGCATTATTGTCACATGAGGAAACTGGTCAAGAAACATTTTGGGACAAATAAAAAACTTTTTTTCTCCTTTACAAAATTCACTTTCTGCTCAAATTTTCTGCAAGATTAAACTACATGTACATGAAACATGTAGGAATGTGTGCATGACCGAACAAAATAAATGGATCCACTGAACTCCTCCATTGGTAAGTTATTCGTTGGTTTTCAGTGAGCATTTTGATTTTTAAATCAAGCAAGATACATGTCCATAAGCCCCCCCCCCCCGTCCCATCATTAAAGGTAGACTACATGAACATCATTAGCAGCTATCAAAAAAGTAACTGACAAAATTATTGTTGAAAACCTCACTTGGTTTAAAGATAGTAATGGCACTAAATTCCCTGTGAAATTATTCTTTCTGGCATGCTGCTATTTAGGAGAAACTATAAAAAAAAAAGGTCATTTCCAAAGATGCATCAAGTGACACATTTTTGGAAATTCCTGTTAGTAGTTGGTTTGTAATTCGGCGAAACAGTGAATGGGTGCATGCAAGAGTTGAAATAATGCACATGCACGTGCGTGCAGTTGCTATTATTCGTCAGTTCAGTACGTGACATTGCATAGCTGCAATCAGCTGAATGAGAACATGTCCCGGATGTTGATTTCAGGTGCAATTCAAACATGACTTGGCAACTTTTGAAATGAAACCAAGATCCTAGAATATTGTATTCTTGGAATATACAGCATTCACTGAGCTAAAACTTCATCATGTTAGTTGTTAAGCACCCATCTTTAGATTTTTAGCACTTTTGTTGCTTCAAACGAATAAAAAATGCACAAACGAAAAATTATCTACATTTGTACGATACCTTTTAAGCTTTCCATAATTTTAGTAAACAAGATTTATTTTTGCCATGTCCTTTTGTTTTATAATGCGAGTTAAAGATAGAAGTCTTATTGCCAAACTAACAAAAAGATATTTGTTGCCCTCTTGTTAGGTAGAGAAGAGAACTTCTGAGGAAAATCCACCCTGAAGGCTTTGACATTATACATGTAGATCAACAGCACAGAGTTGACAAAAGAGCCCCCTTAAATATTGCCCATGTACTGAGGTGAAACTTCATCAGGTTAGTTGTTCTGCAGCCTACTTATGTTTTTGAGCAATTAGTTGCTGCAAACAAATAAAACCCAAAAAATTCACAAAAAACAAATGCACCTACGTACCTTTAATAATGCAGAGGTGTATTGACCTCAACATTTGCCAGACTGAACGTGACAAAATGGTTTCTAATTGGTTTCTTGCTTTTATTTCTCAGTCCAAGAATTCTTAAATAAACAATTCAACGTTAATTTGACTTTCAAAAAAAAAAATGCGCATTCTTAGGAGACTGCACAACCGCTCGAAGCTTGGCTATCATATGTCAGGTGACAGCCTCAGCTGCTTCCGCCATTAAGTCAGTTGCTAAAATCCAGACCCTTAATC